CCGAAGTGGAGTAATATTATTTTAATTTAAAATTTTCATCTTATTTATTAACCTCATTCAATATAATCTTTAGATTAATTATAAATTCTATTAAATATTAAAACTTATTTTTTATCAAATGATTTTAATTAAATTACATCATTAAATTAACAAATAAAGTCTATTTTTAAATTTAAATATCATTACCAGAATTACTAATTATTAAACTAGAATAAATATTATTTTATCAATTTAATCTAAATGCCACCCGGTGGTGCACTCTTAGTTTTTCAATTCGGATGGTACATCATCCCAATAAAAAGATCGAGTTAATGAGTAACATGATGCAATATATAGGTGTTAGAGTATGTGTGGCTCATATTTTGTTATGTGCATAATGGCAACGAGGCAGATGCCGGAGCGGGCGGAGCGTAGCGGAGTGGAGCGAAAGACAGTGAACTACAAAACTAGTGAACTAAAGACACTCTCTACCTCTATCTTTCACTATCCTGAGTGTGCCTTTAGTCTTTCACGTCACCTGCCAGTGCCAAGTCCACCACCACCCTCTATCTTTCACACCCCCAAACAAGATTTCACTCTTTAGTTCACTATTTGTAGGGGCAACGATGGTGGTGGTGGATGGAGGCGCCAGTAGTGGTGGTGGTGGTGGTTGGGGTAGGTTTTAGGTGGTTGTGGTGCATGGCAACGATGACGGCGATGGTTGTGCAGTGGTGGTGGTGGGTGGTGATGAGTGGTAGTAGTGGTAGTGGTGGCTAGTGGTGGGCAGTGGTGATGGTGGTGGTGTTGATTAAAGTGATAATAAATATAAAAATAAGATAACGGTCGAGATTTTTTAATAAACTACTTCATTAAGGATATTTTGGTTAAGAGTTGATTTTAAGGTTGAACTTGAACCTAAAGCCAAAAAACATCCATGAATATGTTCCTATTCTGAAATCTCCCAAAATTAAAAGCTGATAAATCTTTAACACCATTATACGAATGTACGATAGCAGAGAATGATAGTTTAAGTCTCAAGTACCATGATGGAGAGTGCTACAATATTTTGGGACCCAACTAAATAATTCATCTTCTGGTTAGCTGCAGGTGACACCTGGACCAAACCTTTGCACTTTCTAAAAGGAATTGTAATAGTCGATGGTCCTCTGCTCCTATAGAATGCTTGAGAGTTCTCTTGACTTCCAAAGACATTGACTGAAACTCTACGACCATACATCATTGCTCTTACCTAATAGTTTGAAAGGATCACATGTTCAAACATCGCAAAAAATACAAAACTCCAAAATCCACATGATAAGAAAATAAACAATTACAAAATCTAAATGTCATGCCATAGTCATGAAACCCAGAAAATAAATCCCAAAGTATGATAACCAAAGCTAACTAAAATCTGCTCCAGCTTCAAACTAGCCCAAAACCTCCCTTTTCAATCAACTAAAAATAAACTCAAAAAGATTCCACTACACAATTTGTATATTAATCCAAAATCCTCAATCTACTTAAAACAAAACTCAACAAACCAAAATAACAGCATACACAATACTAAAAATTTTTAAAAAAAAAACATAGTAACAAAAAACACCACTAATCAAAACAAATCAAACCTGAAACTTAGATGGCATGGCAAGTTGTGACAGGAAACTGTCTTCTATTACATCTATTTGCTTCATTATCACCAAACGCTTTAAAAAAACCATGTCATCTAATGAAAGTGTTCTTATATTTCAATTCCAATTTATCTAAAACCAAAATGTTTCACTTCACTAGGTTGGTCACAAATTCAAGTCAAATTAATAATCTAGAAAAAAAATTAGTATAAAAAAGGTAGAAAAGGAACAACAAATAACGTAATCTATAATATAAAAAAGGGTTGAAGTCCGACAGTGTCAAATAAACTCATCGTCAACCAACATCCACTCAAAACTATTCACATTGCGCCAGGGGCGGAGCCAGACTTCAACTCTAATGGGGGCAACTTTCAATATATGAATGCTCAAACTCGGAGTGTTAATACTATTTTACAAAAGTATAGTTTCATCGAAATGACATATACAAGTAATATACAAAAAGAGTTCACAAAAAAAGTCCACTATAAAATTGTACCAAAAAAATACTTTTGTATCAAAAAAATAGTGTCCAATAATGAATTGATTCAACACATGAAAAAATCCAAATTCTTGAAAATCTTCATAATCGTTTCAACAAGTTTTCACAAATGATATTTGAAAATTCTTTCTCAACATATGTAGCCAAGTAATCATTCATCTATTGATCTCTCGACTTTTTACTATGTACCTTATTGAGAAGTATTTATCAAAAATAATTTATTATTCAATCCCAATCAATCAAAATAGTTTAGAAAATCAAACAATTTTTAACATAAATACAAGTCTAGTAAATCAAACTTAGACATATAAACATCATAATTTCTCACAATCAGATTCCTCAAGCCCATCGAACCAAATGGTTTAATCCAAAAAATAGTCCACAACATGTGAATTCTAAATATAACAATGTCATTAAATTTAACAACTTGCAATTCTCTATATTAATTTAACATACAAAAATAGCACAACAAATATATATATAGGGAGACCAATTCTAGAATTGTAGGAGTGAAGTTCTTAGCTGTGATCTCTGAAAAGTAGAAGTAGAAGTACTTTTTGTTGTTGCTAAGACTAAAGAACCCCACATGTTTGTGAAAATACATGACTAGTCTTGAGTTTAAAATATTTTCAGTGGGGGAACCTTCTAACATATTTTAAAATTTCAAACATTTTATCTTACTCCCCAAACATTTTAAAATTCTAGTGGGGCAACTTTTAACATATTCTAAAATATCACCTAACTCCCCAAATACTTTAAAAATTCCAGTAGGGGCAGCTGCCCCCACTTTAAATCCACCTCTGCATTGCACCGTGATGTCACGAGTTACTCTAGTAATATATAAATTACGGGAAATGAAAAAAGAAAGATAGAGATAAAAAAAAAAAAAAAGTTGATGGACGATACTTTCAGGTTCTCTCTCCCTCTCTACACAAAGAGTCCAAAACAAACAGTCAAAAGACAAGAATTATATCGAATTCAACCTGATTGGTACTTCAATGCATGAATTTTTAAACTCGGTTACACAACTCTAGGTTGAAATTGAAGTTCTATGCAGACTAATCTTCCGCTGATATTGGGGTTCATATTTCTTGATTACATCTACTGTAACTTGTAACGAAAAAGAGGGGAAAAAAAAAGTTCTAAACTGTACAATTTTTTATGGTGATTTTTTAGGGTGGATTTGTTAACGTTTTCGTTTTTATGTTTTTTTATTAAAAAAAAACTAGTTTTTGTTTTTCTGTGATAAAAATTAAAAATATAACACATTAATATAAATTGTGAAAACAAAAATAAAAAAACATGTTTTGTATTATACCAATAATTCACCACCCAACCCCACTGACCACCCAAAACCACCACCCAACCTCAAATCTCACCACCCAACCCCACCACCGAGATCTGAACAGCATCATCCTAGATCTAAAAATAAATGAAAAATTTTGCGGAGAAAAGGGAGCTTACTGCTTCGCCGGAGATAGAGGTATTCGCCGGAAATAAAAGTGTTGGCCGGAGATGGAGATGTCGCTGCAGCTGGAGGAGGTTGTTCGCCGGAGTTGGAGACGTCTGTTGAGCTAGAGCTTGTTCGAAGAAATGAGTAGAATGCATTTTTCTTGGCATTTACATGGTACCTTAACTCATTGAAGAGTTTCAAGTGATCCATGTAACGACGCTGAAAGAGGGGATTGTTTCTGAGAGTGACAGGGAGAGTGAGAGTGAGAGTGAGTCATCCGTCCACTCATGATGAAACGATTAAAATTGGTAAATAGGCATATCTTATTCTTGGAATCCTCTTATTTGTTGACTGAAATCGATGGAAGGAGCGCGCAGGACTGACGAGAGACACTTTATAGGTAGGGCATCCCAGACCCCAAGGATTGGGCCTGACCCGAAGTGGAGTAATATTATTTTAATTTAAAATTTTCATCTTATTTATTAACCTCATTCAATATAATCTTTAGATTAATTATAAATTCTATTAAATATTAAAACTTATTTTTTATCAAATGATTTTAATTAAATTACATCATTAAATTAACAAATAAAGTCTATTTTTAAATTTAAATATCATTACCAGAATTACTAATTATTAAACTAGAATAAATATTATTTTATCAATTTAATCTAAATGCCACCCGGTGGTGCACTCTTAGTTTTTCAATTCGGATGGTACATCATCCCAATAAAAAGATCGAGTTAATGAGTAACATGATGCAATATATAGGTGTTAGAGTATGTGTGGCTCATATTTTGTTATGTGCATAATGGCAACGAGGCAGATGCCGGAGCGGGCGGAGCGTAGCGGAGTGGAGCGAAAGACAGTGAACTACAAAACTAGTGAACTAAAGACACTCTCTACCTCTATCTTTCACTATCCTGAGTGTGCCTTTAGTCTTTCACGTCACCTGCCAGTGCCAAGTCCACCACCACCCTCTATCTTTCACACCCCCAAACAAGATTTCACTCTTTAGTTCACTATTTGTAGGGGCAACGATGGTGGTGGTGGATGGAGGCGCCAGTAGTGGTGGTGGTGGTGGTTGGGGTAGGTTTTAGGTGGTTGTGGTGCATGGCAACGATGACGGCGATGGTTGTGCAGTGGTGGTGGTGGGTGGTGATGAGTGGTAGTAGTGGTGGTGGTGGCTAGTGGTGGGCAGTGGTGATGGTGGTGGTGTTGATTAAAGTGATAATAAATATAAAAATAAGATAACGGTCGAGATTTTTTAATAAACTACTTCATTAAGGATATTTTGGTTAAGAGTTGATTTTAAGGTTGAACTTGAACCTAAAGCCAAAAAACATCCATGAATATGTTCCTATTCTGAAATCTCCCAAAATTAAAAGCTGATAAATCTTTAACACCATTATACGAATGTACGATAGCAGAGAATGATAGTTTAAGTCTCAAGTACCATGATGGAGAGTGCTACAATATTTTGGGACCCAACTAAATAATTCATCTTCTGGTTAGCTGCAGGTGACACCTGGACCAAACCTTTGCACTTTCTAAAAGGAATTGTAATAGTCGATGGTCCTCTGCTCCTATAGAATGCTTGAGAGTTCTCTTGACTTCCAAAGACATTGACTGAAACTCTACGACCATACATCATTGCTCTTACCTAATAGTTTGAAAGGATCACATGTTCAAACATCGCAAAAAATACAAAACTCCAAAATCCACATGATAAGAAAATAAACAATTACAAAATCTAAATGTCATGCCATAGTCATGAAACCCAGAAAATAAATCCCAAAGTATGATAACCAAAGCTAACTAAAATCTGCTCCAGCTTCAAACTAGCCCAAAACCTCCCTTTTCAATCAACTAAAAATAAACTCAAAAAGATTCCACTACACAATTTGTATATTAATCCAAAATCCTCAATCTACTTAAAACAAAACTCAACAAACCAAAATAACAGCATACACAATACTAAAAATTTTAAAAAAAAAAACATAGTAACAAAAAACACCACTAATCAAAACAAATCAAACCTGAAACTTAGATGGCATGGCAAGTTGTGACAGGAAACTGTCTTCTATTACATCTATTTGCTTCATTATCACCAAACGCTTTAAAAAAACCATGTCATCTAATGAAAGTGTTCTTATATTTCAATTCCAATTTATCTAAAACCAAAATGTTTCACTTCACTAGGTTGGTCACAAATTCAAGTCAAATTAATAATCTAGAAAAAAAATTAGTATAAAAAAGGTAGAAAAGGAACAACAAATAACGTAATCTATAATATAAAAAAGGGTTGAAGTCCGACAGTCTCAAATAAACTCATCGTCAACCAACATCCACTCAAAACTATTCACATTGCGCCAGGGGCGGAGCCAGACTTCAACTCTAATGGGGGCAACTTTCAATATATGAATGCTCAAACTCGGAGTGTTAATACTATTTTACAAAAGTATAGTTTCATCGAAATGACATATACAAGTAATATACAAAAAGAGTTCACAAAAAAAGTCCACTATAAAATTGTACCAAAAAAATACTTTTGTATCAAAAAAATAGTGTCCAATAATGAATTGATTCAACACATGAAAAAATCCAAATTCTTGAAAATCTTCATAATCGTTTCAACAAGTTTTCACAAATGATATTTGAAAATTCTTTCTCAACATATGTAGCCAAGTAATCATTCATCTATTGATCTCTCGACTTTTTACTATGTACCTTATTGAGAAGTATTTATCAAAAATAATTTATTATTCAATCCCAATCAATCAAAATAGTTTAGAAAATCAAACAATTTTTAACATAAATACAAGTCTAGTAAATCAAACTTAGACATATAAACATCATAATTTCTCACAATCAGATTCCTCAAGCCCATCGAACCAGATGGTTTAATCCAAAAAATAGTCCACAACATGTGAATTCTAAATATAACAATGTCATTAAATTTAACAACTTGCAATTCTCTATATTAATTTAACATACAAAAATAGCACAACAAATATATATATAGGGAGACCAATTCTAGAATTGTAGGAGTGAAGTTCTTAGCTGTGATCTCTGAAAAGTAGAAGTAGAAGTACTTTTTGTTGTTGCTAAGACTAAAGAACCCCACATGTTTGTGAAAATACATGACTAGTCTTGAGTTTAAAATATTTTCAGTGGGGGAACCTTCTAACATATTTTAAAATTTCAAACATTTTATCTTACTCCCCAAACATTTTAAAATTCTAGTGGGGCAACTTTTAACATATTCTAAAATATCACCTAACTCCCCAAATACTTTAAAAATTCCAGTAGGGGCAGCTGCCCCCACTTTAAATCCACCTCTGCATTGCACCGTGATGTCACGAGTTACTCTAGTAATATATAAATTACGGGATTCAACCTGATTGGTACTTCAATGCATGAATTTTTAAACTCGGTTACACAACTCTAGGTTGAAATTGAAGTTCTATGCAGACTAATCTTCCGCTGATATTGGGGTTCATATTTCTTGATTACATCTACTGTAACTTGTAACGAAAAAGAGGGGAAAAAAAAGTTCTAAACTGTACAATTTTTTATGGTGATTTTTTAGGGTGGATTTGTTAACGTTTTCGTTTTTATGTTTTTTTGTTAAAAAAAAACTAGTTTTTGTTTTTCTGTGATAAAAATTAAAAATATAACACATTAATATAAATTGTGAAAACAAAAATAAAAAAACATGTTTTGTATTATACCAATAATTCACCACCCAACCCCACTGACCACCCAAAACCACCACCCAACCTCAAATCTCACCACCCAACCCCACCACCGAGATCTGAACAGCATCATCCTAGATCTAAAAATAAATGAAAAATTTTGCGGAGAAAAGGGAGCTTACTGCTTCGCCGGAGATAGAGGTATTCGCCGGAAATAAAAGTGTTGGCCGGAGATGGAGATGTCGCTGCAGCTGGAGGAGGTTGTTCGCCGGAGTTGGAGACGTCTGTTGAGCTAGAGCTTGTTCGAAGAAATGAGTAGAATGCATTTTTCTTGGCATTTACATGGTAACTTAACTCATTGAAGAGTTTCAAGTGATCCATGTAACGACGCTGAAAGAGGGGATTGTTTCTGAGAGTGACAGGGAGAGTGAGAGTGAGAGTGAGTCATCCGTCCACTCATGATGAAACGATTAAAATTGGTAAATAGGCATATCTTATTCTTGGAATCCTCTTATTTGTTGACTGAAATCGATGGAAGGAGCGCGCAGGACTGACGAGAGACACTTTATAGGTAGGGCATCCCAGACCCCAAGGATTGGGGCTGACCCGAAGTGGAGTAATATTATTTTAATTTAAAATTTTCATCTTATTTATTAACCTCATTCAATATAATCTTTAGATTAATTATAAATTCTATTAAATATTAAACCTTATTTTTTATCAAATGATTTTAATTAAATTACATCATTAAATTAACAAATAAAGTCTATTTTTAAATTTAAATATCATTACCAGAATTACTAATTATTAAACTAGAATAAATATTATTTTATCAATTTAATCTAAATGCCACCCGGTGGTGCACTCTTAGTTTTTCAATTCGGATGGTACATCATCCCAATAAAAAGATCGAGTTAATGAGTAACATGATGCAATATATAGGGTGTTAGAGTATGTGTGGCTCATATTTTGCTATGTGCATAATGGCAACGAGGCAGATGCTGGAGCGGGCGGAGTGGAGCGAAGCGTAACATAGCGGAACGGAGCCCGCGACGGCATCTGCCTTGCGGGATTTATATATAGGGGACGCTGATAAGTTGGGGGTGCGGGGGCAACGCCCCCGCGGTACGGTACAGGGGTATTTTTGTAAATACGTCCATATTAGGGTTATATAAATACTTAAGATGTAACCCTACTTCAATAAGAAAAAGAACAGCCGCTCGCTCTCGTGGATGTAGGCACATTGCCGAACCACGTAAATCTTTGTGTGTTATTTTCTCCTGCTTTCTTAATTGTTTGATTCCTTACTATTCACCATAATTGCTGCACGATCACAACAATTGGTATCAGAGCAAGACTACGATGTCTGGGATTTCCTCTACAAAATTCGACATCATGAAGTTCGACGGAACTGGGAATTTCGGATTATGGCAGAGGAGGGTGAAGGACCAGTTAGTGCAGCAGGGCATGGTGAAGGCATTATACGGAAAACAACCGGCAGGAATGGACGACATGGATTGGAAAGAATTGGAAGCGAAGGCTGTGGCGACTATTAGGCTTTGTCTGGCTGATGAAGTGATGTATCACGTCATGGATGAGGAATCACCGGCGGAAGTTTGGTTGAAACTGGAAAGTCGGTATATGTCCAAGTCGTTGACGAACAAGCTCTATCTTAAGCAGAAACTATATGGTCTTAAGATGTCAGAGGGCTCGGATTTGACCCAACACATCAACGTGTTCAATCAGATCATCAGCGATCTGAAGCGAGTTGATGTGAAGTTCGAAGACGAAGACAAGGCGCTGATGTTGCTGAATTCCTTACCGGCGTCTCCTACGTACGAGAATTTGGTTACGACTCTGATGTGGGGGAAAGAAACCCTCGAATTGGAGGATGTCACAGGTGCTCTGTTAGGTTTTCATCAGCGGAAGAAAGCCAGTGATGAGGCTTGTGGTGAAAGGTAACCAGGAACGTGGAAGAAGCAAATCTCGGAATGGATCGGGTAACAATAAAGCCCGGTCCAAGTCGAGGAAGAAGAAGAAGGACGTCTCTGTCTCGTGTTACAAGTGCGGGAAAAAGGGGCACTTTAAACGGGACTGTCCAGAGAAAAAGAAAGGGGATTCAGAGAACAAAGAGGGTGCATCAAAGTCTGCAAACGTAGTGGAAGAAGAAGATTTAGAGAGTGGTGACGGAGATATGCTTTCTGTTTTATCTAGTTCAGATCGTTTAACAGATTCTTGGATTATGGATTCAGCATGTTCCTATCACATGACACCCAACAAAGATTGGTTTGACACCTACAGGTCAGTAAATTCTGGTTCTGTTCTGATGGGTAATGATGCATCTTGCAAAGTTGTTGGAATAGGAAATATTAGAATTAAAATGTTTGATGGTATGGTTAGAACGTTGTGTGATGTTAGACGTGTACCGGATCTAAGGAAGAATTTGATTTCATTGGGCACTTTGGATTGTAATGGTTATAGTTACAAATCTATAAGTGGAGTAATGAAAGTAAGTAAAGGCATGCTGACAGTGATGAAGGGACAGAAAGTAGTAGGAAATATTTACAGACTGCTGGGTACTACAATTGTAGGTGGAGTTGCTGTTGTAGAGTCTGAATCAGATAATACAGTCTTGTGGCATATGCGGCTGGGTCATATGAGTGAGCGTGGGATGATAGAGCTTCATAAGAAAAATCTATTGAAGGGTGTCAAGACATGCAAGCTCAATTTTTGCAAATATTGTGTTCTTGGAAAACAGAATAGGGTGCAGTTCAAGACAGCCACACACAAGACAGAGGGGGTTCTCGACTATGTCCATACAGATGTTTGGGGACCAGTCAGCGTACTATCACGGGGAGGATACATGTATTTCGTGAGTTTCATTGATGATTACTCACGAAAGGTCTGGGTGTACTTCATGCGGCACAAGTC